AAATACGGTACGTTTGGGTCTCGATAGGAGCGATCCGCGGGCAGAACGGCTGCCGGACTGTCCGCGTATCGCCGTGAAATGCAATCGTATCTTGGTTCGTAGGTGCCAACGGTCGTACCGCCTGAACGGCCGGCAGCAATTAAACGCGACGATTATTAGTCGCGGATCACTCGGACTCTCTGCCTCCCGGTGCGGAGTCGGCAACTCCGTTGACGAGCACTGTCCGACGCGAATTTCCATCCACGATTCTCGGAAATCTTTCTGCGTCGGATACCAATCCAACGTACGGTTTCTCCCCCTCTAATTCCATTTTCCAACTACGAATATATTCCGATCACCTTGTCACCGTCGAATGTTCAAATTACAAATACTTGAACCGCGAAAGTTGCCAGCCAGAAATCTTGTACTCTTGAAATTTTATTCCGAAACGACTAATCGCAAGGGTATCTTTGAACCGCGTTTACCGTCGCGTCGCGCTCGTCGCAGGAAAATCCCAGAGAATCTCGAAGAGCATTAAAGAAAGCGGAACAAACTATTCGTAAAGTCTATTCGTCGGACAGTGCGATCGATCAGCGATTCTGTACGCGTCTATTAAGTGTATTGCCCTGGGGCGCGCGCGACGCCCCACCGAAGGAAAGAAATCCGCTGCCTGGGTCGCGTCGGGCCGGCCGCTCGTGCGATCGTGAACCTCGAGGGAACAGGGGAACGAGCCCCGTGTCCCCGTGAACAACGTTAATCGCTAACAAACGACTGTACAACTACGATCTCCATCGCGGAGACTCGAAAAGTCTGCGATTCTCTACGGCGCGTTCGCGTTCGCGTTCGCGTTCGCGTTCGCGTTCGCTTCTTTTCTTTCCTTTTCTTTTCCGATTCTTTTGCAATTTTTTTGTCGCGTTTTCTGAACACTTTTCTGTATCATCGTAATCGTTTAGTCGATAACTTTTACGATAGGCAGTGTTCGTTGAGAAACTGCTACAGGAACACACGTACACGCGTGTCGAGCGCGTTGGCCGCGCGCGCGCGCCCGACGCCGGGTGCATCCGATGGAACGATCGAGCGTCCGTGATTGATTTCTATGGGGGTGGAGAACAAGGATCGCGTTCGAACGCGATCGGTCCGGTTCCACGGGGAACGCTCGGGAGAACCGCGGCAGAATGCGCGTAACGCGTACGCGGGCTTCTCTTCGACGAGCTTCAACGTCTACAGCAGAAGAGAGAGAGAGAGAGAGAGAGTGGATGCGTCGTACTAAAAAAATATGTATTATGTACATATACGCGCGGAACGCCGTCTTCCATCTTTCGTTTCGTCGCGCGGAACATCGAACAGCGAGAAGAATACTGGTCGCTCGGGATCTCGGGATCCGTGCGTGTGTAGGATGGGAGAGCGTACGCCGGGGAACGCGATCCCCGCTCGGGCTACCGTCTCCGTTGCTGGTAAGAAGTCTTTCGCAGCTTTAGTTAGCGGAGTTTAGCTTCTTCTATCGTTCCGAGAGAAATTCATCGATACCGAATCGACGGGCTTATCGTCGTCGACGATACCACTGATTACCACTGAAAGAAGAAAAAAGGAATTTCAACTGCGAGCAATCGGAATCGGGTTGAACCGGCGTGCCTTCTTACCAGCAGCTTCCGACCAATCGACCCGAGTCGAAAGAGAGTGGACCGGCGAAACGATCTAGGAATCCCGGCTAATTTCTTTCCTTCCTGGGGGGCGGCGGTCGTCGACGGTCGCGCGATTACGAGGCGTTTAGTTGAACGACGCGACGCCGTATCTCGGAGAAACAACGATTTGCCTTTCCAGTTAGCAAACGGTGAACGGACCGCGAAATAGTTTATCGAACAGCGGCGAGTTATAGTGGTTGGGTAGTAGCGTCGATTAACGGTACGTTAATTGCAGCGGCGACTCTTTTGCGTTGCATCGTCTTCGTCCGCGGCCTCGATCTTTTGTCGCGTGTACTCGTGTGTCTACGTGTGTGGTTCTTCTCCTTCGTATTCGCCTGTCTCCTCCGTGTCTCACCGCGTGTGGCTGTGTGTGGGTGACGGTGACGTACTGACGTACTGGCTGACTAACCAGACCCCTGTGTAGCTTCAATGGATTCCGATGGATTCGCGATTCACGATTCACGATTCACGATTCACGATTCACGAGTTTCGAGGCTCAGGTTTCTCTCACTGTTGACCACGCGGCCGGCTATGCCCCGCGTTCGTGTTCCTGGGCCGTGTCTGCCGGGCCGGACGATGAGAAAGAGAAAAGGTCCCACAGTCACCGCGAACCGGCGATCACCGAAACAACATGTCCACCGGTCGTGTGGTACGTCGGACGATTTTTACATCAGCGTCGCTCGGATGCGGAATCACAGAATTACGCAGCACCGGCAGTATCGTTGCCGGGACGCGCCGGCGCTCGGCGGCGGTGTCACCGGCGCGAAATACGCGTGGACCTTGATGTTCGGCAGGTGCGTCTGGAACCAATTGACGGACGATTTTCCTCACTCTGTACAATGCAATATTATCGCAGGATCCGATGCCATGCAGCGTAATTACAACGAACGAACGGAACCGGAATAAGACTAATTCGACACATACTCTGAGTCTACGTATGCCAGCTCTGGTGATCAGTTGACAGTCGTAAAGCTCGATGCGCTCGAGATTGTGGCAGGCCTGTAGAAGGTGATCGAGGCTGGCATCTGTGATCAGTGGGCAGTTGTCGAGTTCCAACACCGCCAGATTCTCCGCTGCGCACGGCGAGAGAGCCAACTGCCGAATACCTTCGTCGGTGATCAACTCGCAGTGCGACAGACTCTGTTTTCAGAAACCAGTCGACGGAAATGCTTTAATTTCCATCCGGAGAATCAATCGACACTTTTACCATAGAAACGTTAAGGAAGTTGGGGGTAGTATATTTTCAATATCGACACCCCTTGCCTTGCCATTCCTTTCGCGACTACTCTCGTCGCGATTGCAATCGTTTACTCGGAGAAAGAGGACGTTTAACATCGCCAACTAACGCAATCGACCGATAGTCTTCGAGTGATTTGTCAAGGCAACGAGTTAATCAACGAATTCGTTCATTTCCCCTAGGTACAACGATACACGAGCATTTCATTCGACGCATAGGTTCGCCGCAAGAATAAGCTGTCGTTCATAAATTACACGTTCAAGCAGATTTCGGAAAAAACCGACGTTAATTCTACGTCAGATTCGTATTCGTCTTTCGCGCACGGTAGAAATACGTAGAATATTTATATTAGCGTAACGCGGCAAATGCGGTGCAAAGTATACGGTTTTTGTCGAGTATCGCGTACGCTTCGTGTACAGCCAGCATAGAATTATCTATAATTACCGACTTACCAATTTCTCCAATCTGGGACAGCCCATTGCCAGGTGAATGAGGGTGGCGTCTGTGATTAAAAGGCACTCTTCCAGGTCCATCTTCTCGAGTAGTCTGCAATTCTAGAAGTGGAACAGCCGGATAACAATGACGAATTATCGTTCCGTTGCCGTCAGCTCGGACGACAGCTTGGACCGTGTGTCTGTCCACTCACTTTTGCGAGAGCCTGAAAGCCTGCGTCTGTAAAGTGCGTGCAGGCGACGCACTCGAGGACGCTGAGGAGCGGACAGTGTTGCGCCAACGTGACCAACGACGCGTCCGTCAGGTTCGGACAGTTCGACAAGCAAACGTAGTGCAAACGCGGACACTGTTCGCTGAGGTCCTTCACCGCATCGTCCGTTATGTTCTGGAATAGATTCAGTGTCAGAAATTTGTACGCGCGACATCCGGGAAACCGTCGGAAATAGTCTACGTTCGAATCGTTCGCACCCGGATCTCTCCGCTATATACATTGTAGCTTAACGAACAACCCGACCGAAAGAGGTGCACGATCGATTGGCAATTGAACGGTTCGAAAGGTTCGACAGGTTGTGTCGGAATCACTCGAAACCGAGTAAATACCCTGCATTCGTGTAGATTCACCGCCTCCAAATTCGGGCAGTATTGAGCCAAACACTTGACGGCTCTGTCGGTCAGCTGGCGACAACCCTTGCAATGGAAGCTGCGGAGCTGCTTGCAACCCCTCGCCAACGCCTCGACGCCGTTGTCGGTAAGTAACTTGCACCAGGACAGGTTGATGTGGGTGAGAAGCGGACAACCGTCCGAGAGATCCTTCAGGGACATGTCCGTGATCTCGGGGCAGGAGTCGAGATTCAGCCGTTGCAGTTTCGGGCAGCAGCTGCTGAGGGCCGCGCAGGTGGCGTCCGAGATCTTCTTGCACTGGCTCAGGTTCAGCTCCTCGATGTTCGGGCAGGACTGGGCCAACGTGCGCATCGAGTTGTTCCCGATGCTCTGGCATCCCCTAAGGGACAGCTGTCGCAGGAACCCGCCGCACCGTCTCGATATATTCTCTATAACTGATCCCTGCAGTCGGGTGATCGATTACGGTTTACGGTTTACGGTTCACGGTTCGCGGTTCGCGGTTCGCGGTTCGCGGTTCGCGGTTCACGGTTCACGGTTCACGCGCAGAGATTCGTTCTCGCGATTTTTCCTTTTCCAGTCGCGTCGCGCGCTCCATACCATTGGTCGATCAGTCGCTCGTCCCACCTATCGACTGCCAGTTGAGAACGACTTCTCCCAATTACTCCCGATTATTCTCTTTCGTAAGAAGCTGTCGCGCGTCAACGTGACTTCCAAAGCAAGTGCAACGAATCTTCCAGATGGACCACGCGACGTTCGACGCGTCGAACCCTGCGCGAGTCTCGGGAACCTGTCGGCAGCCCGTTTCCGGTTAACGCGCCGCTCACCCGTTGGCACTACGATCGGTTCCCCGGGAAGAGGGAACCGGCGTGCATCTCGCGTGAGCAGCGCGATAACGCGTTCGATTTACCTCGACGTCCCGTTGGAAATCGAACAGATCGATTCGCTGCCAATTGGACCCGTCCAGCGCCAACACGTTCCAGGCTTTGCTCACTTGCGCGCAACGGCATAGCGACACCACGTCCAGATACGAGAGAATTCTATCAATCGTACGGGAATCGTGTTACTCGGTGTCCGGTTTTAATTTAACAATTCTATTCGCGTTGAACAAGAAGAGAGATAGAGACGG